TATCTGCATCGTTTTTATGTCTATATTTCTGACTTACTTCATTTTGTATTTTGCTTTGTGTGTTACCTGTTGTTTTGTCTGTACAGCCCTTTGGTTGGCCTTGTTGCTGTTTTAAGTGCTCTATAAATAAAATGGTATGGTATGGTACCATGTTTTTTTTTTTTTCTAACGAAGTTTGGATCTTCTGGTAAAACCTGAAGATAAATGTCTTGGCATGTCAAAAAAAAATAAAAATAAAAATCTAACACCTCCTCCACCTTTAAGGCACCTAACAGAAATAATAAATGTGCGTTTAAATTACAGGTCAGATATTTTCTGCTCTGCATCGCGGCCTGTTATCAACATATCTGACTGATGGATCAACCAATGACACAGTGGGAAAAGAGCGGATCGATTATGATGAGCCGCAGACAGACCTCCACTCTATCTTTTCTTCATCCAATAGTTTTTTTTTAATCAACACTGCAGCTTCTCTCCTCTAGCTAAACCCAAAGCATCACTTCACCCATGTTGTCATGGAAACCCCCCTCTCCCATTCTCCTCCTTCTCCTCTTCCAGTTGCTACAGTGACACCTCGTGGTCCTCCGGTCCTCCTCTCATCCATAACCAGCTTCTCCTCCTCTGGTTACCGTGGCGACACCTCCTCCAATCCTATTGTCATTGAATCATGTATGAATATTTAACAAGCCCAGACGTCCGACATCCCTCAACATCATCATCTTCAGTCGTTTATCGCTCCTCTTGTCCTCCTCCATTCTTCTCTTTCTCCCTCAGATTTGCTTCAGGCTTGTTCTATCTAATCCTTGATCCTCCTATTTGTTCCTCTTTTCCTTTAATTGTTTTTACACTTTTCTTCCTTTCCTCTCCTCCTCCCTCTCATTTTTCCTCGATTCTCTTCACTCAGCTGTAAATCCTCCTCATCTCTGTTATTGTTGTCCACTCCACCTGTTCTTCAGGCTTTCAGTGCAACTCTTACACATGATAGTTGCTCTCTGAATATGAGATTTTTGTCGTCAGCAGCTTTAATTTTTTAATTGAATCGCATTAAGGAGGAACAGGACAAATAAGGATGAACCTCCAGCATCTGACTTGCTTCTTTAATAAACAAGTGATTTGATTATTTTGTTTGTCTCTCTTTATCTCTCCAGATAAAAGACAAATTATTCCATTTTAAAAATGTAGGTTTTGTGTTTTACCGCAGACAATATATCGACGTAAATATCTGATTTGTTTAAACACTACAGTCAGTTGTTTTGTTAAAAAAACTGACTTTAAGTAATTGCAGAGAACATTTGTAAACTTTGAAGTTTTTGCTTGTGTCTGCACTGTTAGCAAAATATCTCATGCACAACTGGACAAATTCTAATGAAATTTTTAGAAAGCATTCAGTGAGCATATATATAGAACCTTTCCAAAAAATTAAAATATCATGGAAAAGTTGTTTAACCTCCATAATTCCATTCAAAAAGTTAATATTTAATAGATGATATATTCATGGCCCACAATTTAAACGATGTAAAGTATTTTTTATTTTTACATAATTTGGGCTCATGAAACCCATGAAAACAGGATTTTAAAAAAATAGAACTGTGAAGAAATCAGTCCACACTTCTCAGTTTTTGAAGGAAAAAAGAAAGAAATTAGGATCACAACAAATCAACCAAAATATGGTACTTCCAAAACGATATTTCAATCTTCAATACTTGGTTGTGAATCCCTTTGTCTTAATCACTGCCTCGATGCAACGTGACATTGAGGCAATCAGCCTGTGGCATTGCCTGGGAGTTATGGAAGCCCAGATTACCTTGATGCTTGCTGTCAGCTCTTCTTTGTTGTTGGGTCTGGTGACCCTCATTTTCCTCTTGAGAATACCACATAGATTCTCAATGGAGTTTAGGTCCGGCGAGTTGGCTGGCCAGTCAAGCACTGTGGCATGGGCATCAAACCAGGTTTTGGTGCTTCTGGTGGCAGGAGGTAGAGACTGAAAGTATGAGATCCTGAATCCAGGAGGTCTAAATGAGTTCTCTCTGCAAGGTAGCTGGACTCTCCTTAGAGATCAGAAGAGAAGTTCCGTTCTCCAGGAGAGACTCTGAGTAGAACCACTGCTCCTCCACATCCAGAGGAGCCAGCTGAGGAGGTTCAGACATCTGGTAAGGATGGACCCTGGACACCTCCATAGGGAGGTGTTCTGGACATGTCCAACTGGGAGAAGATCTGTCTCTCAGACGGCCTGGGAACACTGTAGAATCTAAGAAATTTATTAATTTGATAATCTGTTTAATGAGGCCAAAAGAAATGCCTTTTAACTTACAACAACTGTGTTCAACAGAACTTGCTTTTAACAGATTCTGAGAAGTGCTTGAAGTCGACCTGTACTGACCTGTACTTGTTTAAAAGTACCAGGAATTTCTGGGCGTAAGATCAACTGTTTGTATAAGACCGTTTTCCATCAGAACTGTTTTGACAACAAGTGACCTAGGAAGAATTCGTTTATCTCAAGTGTTTTTCTAAAATAGGAAAGGACTGATAAAGTGTTATACAACCTTCTGACTTCTGACGTCAATGAAAAGTATAAATAAGATACTGTACTATATTTAGACAGGGGTTCTGCCTTTGAGGTCCCGAGGTATCCCTGGCTGTTTGGCCTTTGGGCTAAGCTTCAAATAAAACCCCCATTTGCTGTCAAACAGAACCAAGGTGTCTACTGTTTTATTTAATGAACCCAAAAGTATTAATGTAGTAAGCCACTACAACACCTTGGAATACTCCCAGAAGGGATGGAAGAGGTGGCTGTGGAAAGAGAAGTCTGGACCTCCGTGATTGAGGCTGTACCTGAGACCTGCATCCAGAACCAGATGATGGATGGGTTAGCTTCCAGCTAACCCACCTCTTCCAGTTCTTCTGGGTCCAAGGTGTTGTTTCCAGACCAGCTAAAAGACAAATCTTCTCCCAGCTTACGTACGAAAGTCTTTCTTCTAAACAAGAAGTGCCTATCCGTTGTAAGAAGAACCTCCTGCCTCATTCACTCACACGGTCCTTCAGTCTTGGTGAGATGATGGGGCGGCTGTGGTTGAGTGGTTAGAGCAGTCGTCCTCCAATGCGAGAGATGGGGGTTCGAATCCACCAGCAGTCACATGTCGAAGTGTTCCTGGGCAAGACACTGAACTCCTCGTTGCCTCTGATGTGTGTCCCATCCGTGTATGAATGTGATAAAGCACTGATTAGTCTCATTAGAATGATTTGTTCAATTAGCTTTGTAGAGATCTAGTAGAGTGTGGTATGAATGAGTAAATGAGGACACAGATTGTGTTGTAAAGCGCTTTGAGTATCTTGAAATAAGATAGAAAGGCGCTATATAAGTACAGTCCATTTACCATTTACCATGATGGATGAAGTGAATATGATGGCGTGTAATCATTTGCATTGACACTTTTTTTTCCCTCTTTATCTTAGTTTTCATCTATGCTTTAAGGCAAACATAATTATCACATATTTTAGGAGTTTAATACCAGAGTTGAATAGAGCCTCTGTCCTGACATCTAGAGTTAATCCAAAACCATTCAGAGCAATAGCTTCATATAAGCAGGCCTATAACATCAATGTTATTTATAAATTCAGTCCATATATGCTCATCTTCATTTCAAAAGTTTACTCCAGTAGATCAAGTCGTTGAAGGTGACAGGTTTAAGGACGCGGATTCTTCAGTAAAACAGATGCCTTATATCTGCAAACCAATAAACTCCAGTTATAGAGAATAAATTAACTAGCACACACATCAGCTCCTAATCACATTAGTCCAGTCCTTCTCAAATAGTGGGGCGCGCCCCCCTGGGGGGGCCTGGGGCAATGCCAGTGGAGGGGGGGGGGGGCGCATGTGACCCTAGAAAACATGCTTTTTTTGCCACAGGGAGTAGTTTTTTTTATTTTTTTCTCAACATACCCATTTTGTCGCGTGCGTTCATAATAATAACGTTATTAACAAATATGGCTGCCTTGTCGTTTTGGGAGCCATGCATGAACCGTGTCTCTCCCCTGTGCTGCTGGCACGACAAATAAACTCCGACCAGTCTGTCACCTCCTCCGTCCTCTGCTGCTGTTATGGTCCATGTGCCCTGGACGTCCCTCACAGCGCACATGCAACAAAGAGTAAACTCAAGCGAGAGCAACACCTGCCCCCTCTTTCCTCTTTTTTGCGTTGACAAAATGTTTTAGTTTTATTGATAAGTTTGTCAAAGCACAATTTACAGAAGTAATGTTTAATAAATGTTAGGACTCTATTAATTGCTAACAAAATTAATTCACCTCCTCCAGTTAAGCTGCTGTTATTTGATTCTCTGGACGTTTGTCACCCACAGCATGTAGGTGACAAAGAGTAAACTCAAAGCGAGAGGGTTACCTGCTCCCTCGTTCTTCTTTCATGTTGACAATTTTTTCTTGTTGTTTTATCGATGAGTGTACTCATTGATCCTGACTTTCTCATTTTGATAAAAAAAAAAAAAAATCAGCATAAATTGTTTTATTCATTTTTGTTTTGTAGGTCAAAGTGTTTTATATAACACACCTGAGTTAAAATGTTACTGATCAATTTGAATTTATTATTATTTATTGATTATATTTTATTTTATTTTTCAGTATCAAATGGTCAAAAAAGTTTACAGTTTAAAAAAGGATTGTTGCTTTATTTCAGGCAAATTGATGCACTATTGTTTGTTGTAAGTTGATCTCTATATATTTTTTTTCTTTAATGCTTATAAGGACAGAGGTGTACTTATAACAATTTTATAAACATACTATTTACAGTTGCGGCAAAGAATTGTGGGGTGGAGGGGGCATAACAGAAAATAATTGAGAAGCACTGCATTAGTCTGTTTTTAATTATAAACACTAATGTTACCACCTTGAAGTTGTAAAGGAACCTTTGTTTCGATGGTTACGACACATCTGTGGTATTAAACCAACCCAGCATTTCTTCATTCAGCCGTACCTCTATGCAGACTTACGTTGTTAGTTGGATCCTCTGCCGGCGTTGTTTCTCCCTCTTCCTGCTGCTCCGGCGCCGTCGGTACTGACACGGGCAACAATGGAGATCGAGCTTTACCCGTCTGACCCAAAGAGGCTGTCTTCACCTGGGGCTTGGGAAGGCTTGCAGCTGGAAGAGACAAGAGAAGTTTAAAAACATCGTAGACACTTAAAACTTGGATGATGACTTTGATACTACGTTAAAGAAACTGTAGGACTTGTGTGGTCTTTGCAGAGTCTTGGCAAAGTCTTCAGGAGTGTATTAGGACACAGACTGATGGAATGGAACAGTTTGAAGAGGGTTATGAGCATGCACTGAACTCCTGTACCATGTTGTTGTGGTTTATCATCTTGAAGGCAGCATGACGGGATCATGGGTTGAGGATGGGGAACATGGTGGCCATGATGGGGGGGGGGGGGGGTTAACATGTTCAAGCAGAAAGAATTTGAAGCAGGACTAGCTACAAAGGCCTACTGTCACGAATCACGTCCCTTAGATTATATTTTATGTCACCATGATCACTTTTTAAAGTTTTCAGTAGATCTGTCCTGTAAATTTCATTTATTCTGTCCGCTCCTGCAGTGTTTATTTATACATGTGCGTTTTAGTTTGTCTTCTCTGCATGCTGGTAGAGGGCGTCCTTACTGTTTGTTTAGCTTTGTCTTCACGGCAGCCAGCAGCAGCTGATTAGAGCTCAACTGGCTGCACCTGTCACTCTCACCCTATATAAGCTTCACTCTGTTTCCTCTTCGGTGCCCGGTAGATGAAAACAGTTTTCTGCAAGTAGATACCTCGCGTTCATGATCCTGTTTTGTTTCCCTCTAGCCATAGTGTTTCCCTGTCATAGATTACCTGTTCTCCTCGTTCCTGTCCCGCTCCTGTCCTTACCTCTCGGTTCGACCTCCCGGCTCCTGGATCCACGACTCACCTGGACATTGTCTCTCACTCGACCCCTTGGATTATTAAGCCTTCTGTCTTCGGTTCTGATCTTCGCCTGCATGACTACACCTCTTTGTCTACTCCTCCGGTCCCTTCAGTCATCTGCTCTTTGGTTTTGGACCCTGACTCGTTGGACCACAACTCTGTGCCTGACGGACTTATCACCTGCCTGTCGCTGCGGCCGGCTGCAGCCCCTCACTGGACTCAGCTCCTCCAGCAGCGGTCCGGATCAGTTCGGACTTCTCCAGTCGCCAGAACCCCCAAGATCATCTGAAACGGTTAGTGGTCCTCCTTATTTGACTTTTCTACTCCCCATAGTCTCCTGTACGACCACTAACCGATCTCTGTCTCATAGACTTGTCCCTGATCCGGAACCTGTACCAGAACCAGTACTAGAACCAGTACCAGAACCAGTACCAGTACCAGAACTGACCCAATCTGCAATATTTCACCAAGAAAATAAATATCATTTAATTTTTACTTTGTGTGGTGATTTTGGTCCAAACATTAGGGGGTTCGTTACAGAACTGTAAGGATGGTACTTTTCTGTGGCCCGGTTTGTCTGTTTCCCTCGTGCTCCCTCATTAGTTCCATTAGTGCCACCTGTGTCTCGTCCCAGCTGTTTGTTATCATGTCTCGTCTTCTCCCTGTATTTAAACCGTCCTATTCTGTCTTGTTCTTCGTCGGGTCGTTCTTCGTTGGGTACTCTTCCTTGGGTCTCCTGAGTCTTTCCCTGAGTCTTCCTGGTCCCTCGAGTTCCCCGTGTCTCTCGTGTCTCCTGAGTTCCCCGTGCCTCCTTCCTTGTTCATGTAAGTTTTGCTGCCCCGTCAGCTTGTTTATTTTGTACTTTTCGTTTATCATTAAAAACCTATTTTGTATATCTGCCGAGTTGAGTCCCTGTTCTGCACTCTGGGTTCGCTCCTGACACAAATCCTAACAGTACGACCCGACCAGAACAGAACCCAGCGGGCAGGGTTCTCTCTCGGCAGCACTCACCTTTTTTCTTTTTTCCCTCCTCGTGCCGTGATGGACGAGCTCCTCTCCATCTCTGTCCTTCCACCGTCCCACCGCCGCCGCAGTGGCAGAAGATGGTTCCGGAGGCAGTCTGCGGCGACCGGCCCGGTCTCGTCGGCCGAGCAGAAATTCAGAGCTGGTTCCGGTGTTTTCGTGGGAGCGGGGTCCACCGTCTCACCTCCCAGGTTTCCGGTGGGGGCGAGATCCAGCGTCCCGTGGGAGCTCCGGTCCACTCCTGTTTGGTTCGGTGAGTCCGGTCTGGTTGATGTTACAGGGGCGGGTTCCGTCGTCTCACCTTCCACGTTCCTGGTGGGGGCGGAATCCGGCCTCTCACCGCCACTCCGCGCAGCGGCTGTTCGACCCAGCCTGGCCGTACCTCCGGAGAGTTTTCATTGTGACACCGTGGGGGCGTGTCCCGCCGCCTCACCTTCCAGGTTTCAGGTGGGGGCGGCACCCGTCACCACACCCACTCATACAGACATTTCTTTTTTTTCCCCTGAAGATATTTTTCATATTAATCAGACAATTCTTGAATTATTTAACTCTGCTAAAAATAACCCGTCCTCTGATTTCGTTTTGTCCCAGATGGAGGATTTTTTACTTTCTATCCCTGGTCTTTCTTTGCTCCTCGAGTATGATTTTTTGTTATCTGAATTAGAGACTCTAAAGACTCCAGTTACAGCCATTCCTGAGGTGGACTCCACGCTGCACACAGCCATCCCTGAGGTGGATTCCACGCTGCACGCAGCCCCTGAGGTGGGTCCTCATTTCTCCTATTCCGAGGGGGTCCCGGCAGACGCTCCTCATCTCTCCTACTCCGAGGG